TACAAATTAAGTTTAAAAAAATAGAATCAGTATAAAACAGAAAAAGACAACTACATATATAAATACTTCCTAAGATTTAGATCTAGGAAAATAACCAATTCATCACATGTGAATGTTCTTTTAAAGAAGCTATGGGAGGGCCTGGGGATATAGCTCAGCGGCACAGCACCTGCCTAGCAAGCATGAGGTCATGAGTTCGATTCTCTGTACCAAAAAATAACAACAAAAAAAAACAAAACAAAAAGCCATGGAGGTGAAAGAGAAGAAAGTACCAGAGCGGAGGAAAGGAGGTGGGGAAAGAGTAAATGCAACAGTCTGCACAGACGCAATCCCAGTCCTGCTTAAGAAGCCTGCAACCTTCAGAGGTGGCTGCATGAAGAACTGCAGGTGGGTGTCATGACCAAGGGCATATGAGCTACAGAATCACACCAAAGCCACAGTATACACAGCAAGGTCTCAGCCCGCCGGGTGACATCAGGAAGACAGCCAGTGAGAGTCGCCAAATCCTCAGCAAACACTGCAAATGAACTGCAGAGGCTGCCTGGGCCAGCCTCCAGCTCCTGCTCCACTTCTGCTTCCCTGCAGGGATGTTTGCACTGAGGACTGGGAGGGTCCATGTTTACACCAGAAAGGTTTTTGCCTGCCTGGCTGACCTTGCATACATACATGATCAAAAGCAGAGAAACAGACACTGAGGAACAAGAACAAATGCCACAATGACTAACAATAGTGAAAGAACTTGTAGGGCACTCCCACCGATCTTTCCAGAATGGATCCAACTGAAACTTTATGGTTCTTTTTTGTTTTTCTTCCAGTACCAGAAATCAAACTCATGACCTTGTGCTTGCCAGGCAGGTGCTTTGCCACTGAGCTAAATCCCCAGCCCTGAAACTTGATGGTTCTGAATCCTTCCAAAGCCCAGTGGCCTGAAGCACAAAGCAGCACTTCCAGGTCAAGTATTAAGAAGCATCACCTTCCCTGGGAGAGAAGTTGGACAGAAGTTGGAAGACGTGATAGTCTATTTCAGAATCAAAAGCAGATCCTGCCTCAGAAACAAATATACTTTAAAGCCTTAGTTGGATCAAAACAGGGAAGCATAAGGTTCAAACTGTATTGGTTTTCAATGGATATTCTGATTCTAATTTACTATTCCTTCTACAGATTTTTGTAAAAGATGGCACTCAAAATAGGGCTGTAAGTATATGTCCTTTCTTCCTTTAAACACTATAATATATTGTTATCCTTTTGTGTGAGTAGGAGATACACAAAAAAAACAGTAACATGTTAAATCCTACATTGCACCAAATTTTAGGAGGGCATTCAGTGTAGCTCTCAAAAAGACTGTTGTAGAAAAGGCCAGCACTATCCAATGAGCCCTAATATCTGAGAACTAATACCCAACTCTCATTACAGCAATAGTAGAAATATAGACGACCCTATGAATAACCTCACCAGGAAAATTTTTAAAGAAATGGAAGGAAAAAAATTATTTTTTTGGTTGTAGACAGTGAAAATACTCTGATAAATTAAAGTATCTTTTATATCAAAATAGCTATCATAGTTCCAGTTTTGTATAGTTCCAAACACTCCATATGACCCTTTTTCATGAATGATAAGTCTTGATTCTACAATTTATGCAAGCTCTACCACTTATGAGCTCTACATCCTTCCTCCTTTGTGCCTTAGTTTTCCCTCTGTAAAACAGGAATACAGTGGAAATGTTCTGAGGACTAGGTGTGCAGCTGACACACAGTTTGCACCCAGTAATGGTTAACTGCCACCACTGATATTACCACCAGCACAGCACAATTTGGAAGAACTGAGTAAGTGATAGTAGGATCATTTTTGAAGAACAAATATGGTACTGATGCAAGACTCAAACAGGTCAATAGAAGAGAATAGATAGTCTCAAAACACACACACACACACACACACACACATACACATACTTTTTAAAATATAACTCATGAAACATAATAAACTAACTGGAAATAGGTTTTTTAAAAAATGAGTTTAGTAAATTGACTAATCTGGAAGAAAACTAATTAAGAATCTCACTGTATATAACATTCAAAACAAATCCAGATGGAGCAACAATGTGTTTTTTAAAAGGCACGCAGAAGAAGAAACAGGTAAATTTTTGTATTAATTTGGAAAAGAGACAGAGTTTCTACATGAGAAGCAGGAAAGGGAGGTGGAGAGGGAAGGAGGGAGGCAGAAAGAGAAGAAGGAAATGACCAAAGCAAAGCGACAAACAGAAAAATAGAATCAATAAATATAAAGTTTACTTGCTATATATAAAAGACCTCTTTAAGCCAAAAGGAAAAAAAATGAAGAGGGATGAACCAACAACTTACACTAAAATAAACTTATCCAATAAACAACTGAAAAATATTTAACCTCGTTAATAACTTAAAAATGCAAAACAAAGCAGAGTATGTTTTTAATTTAAAATCAGTAGAGTGCTCAGCACTGGCAAAAGCACAGCAAGGCAAAGATGTCCTGGAAGTGGCAGTGGGCACAAGGTGACACGCACTATGCAGCCTGCCAGGCTCTCGCTCCCTCTCCCTACACGTCACCTCCCTGGAAAGCAGCACAGCTGCGGAGTCCCGCGTAGACAGTGTCTGGTTGCAAGGTTACTCCCAACAGGGACAGTAACCTAAGCGTGCAGCTGCACGGGAGCTGCACTCAAATCAAAGTGGAAACCCCACCACGACATATGCAATCATTAAATAGCTGTTGTGAGAATTATCAGGTTATGGGACCCTTCCCACGTTGTTCAGCCATACTGAGAAAAAAAAGCAAACCAAGCCTATAAAATTGCTTATTCCATTTTTCCCAATTAGGAATGACTGAGTAAGTTAAAACGAGTAGGTAGGCAGAAACAAAACATGTACCAATGGCTAGCTTGGAGATCAGCTTATAAGCTGTTCATGATTTAAGGGTTTTTTGTTGTTGTTTCGCAAACTCGTTAGCATGAGCATACAGAACTTTCATACTTGGTAAAATACTAAGTGCTGTCAAATGTAACAAGATGTCACCTATGGAAAGAGCAATCAACAACAGCCATGACTTCCAAGCACTTTCTAAAACCTACTGAGTCTAGATGTTTACCAACTCACTCTTGCTTCCTTGTTTCCCTCAGTGCCCGAGATGACCTGGCTCCGCCTACTCCCTATCTACAAAATGTGACCAGAGTACCTGCAGGAAGGTAGGCAGGTACATGCGCCTCCTCTCACCCTTCCCAGCCTCAAGCTGTTTCCAGATCCAGCCAGTCTTGCTTCTCTGGAGACAAAAAGACAGTCAGGCCGGCCCAACCAGAAAATTGTTTCTCTTATGTTTTTCCTAGTATTTTAAAGGAAGGAGCTAGGCACGGTACATGTCTGTAATCCCAGCACCTGGGAGGCTAAGGCAGGAGGATCAACATGAGTTTGAGGTCAGCCTGGGCTGCATAGTGAGTTCAGTGCCAGCCTGGAATACTTGGAGACCCTTCTCTCAAAAAAACCAGAAAAAGACTCATACCTTCTTTCACCCAGAAACAGAAATTTCTCACTTGTAACAGAGTACTACCTGACTTGTTAGAATGCATGTTTTCATAGGTACCCGCCCTGCACGATGCACTAACTAATGCTATGTCCCCAGAGAAAGGGTTTCACCTGCCTAAAACAGGGTTCCCAAAGCTTCCAGCTCCCTGATCATCTGAATGGCTAATATCAAAACCTGTCTCTTTATTCTCCCCTATTTTTGATGTCTAGGTAATTTCATTATTTTAAATAAAAGCAAACCTAATTTCCTCCTCCCTTCTTTATCCCAATAAAATATGTGGGATGGAAGAAATATTTTTGCTGTAGAAAACAAATCCAAGACCCTTTGCCAGGGACATTTACCACCTGAAACGTGAATGTCTGCACTTGGTAACTGGAGTACAAAACCTAGGAGAAGTCTGCTTTTATTTTTTCATTAAAAACAGATGCAAGCTCTTGACCCATCGCACAGGAGCTCTTATGCAATCCTGCAGCTAGATAGTAAGTGGGTGTGCATGCTCCTCTCCCAGCATTCTGTCTGCTCTGAGCACAATAAGGAAAGATCAATTCTTCATATTGATCTAATGCCCAAAGACAGGCTCTTCACTTGAATTTCATTAGAAGCAGTTCACCTGCAGTCTGAACATTTAGATAGACAGGTTATATATCTGATGGGGAAATAACTAGAAAAATACCACATTCTCTGACTGCTCCCACACAACACAGCAGTCACCACAGTACCCTGAGGAAGGAAAGAGAAGGGGAAAGGAGGCAGGGGAGCAAAGAACTCGAGGGCTTGGGGGAGCAGCAGAGACCATGGACCCCACCAGCTCTCTGCAACTGAGGTTCTTCTGGTAGGCTCTAAACTCTTCAGCAGGCTGAGGGCAGTCACCAACCCCCACAACCACCAATTAAAAAGCTTCTCAAAAAAAACCTTCTCCTGCAGAAAATCCTAGGCTTTCCTGTGAATTCTATCAAACATTCAAAAAAAACCAAAAATTAATACCAAGCATTCACAAACTCTTCCAAAAATTACAAGAGGAGGCAACACTTCCTAACTGCTTCTATGAGATCAGTATTGCCCTGACCCCAAAGCCAAACAGAGATATTCCAAGAAAATAATGTTGCCAACTACAGCCCTTAGATCCAGGCATCCTCAATAGAATAAGCGGATAAAAAGGCTTGTACAAAACATATGAGAAGACATAGAAAGGATCTCTCTTTGGGAATGTTGCCAGCTGAGGTAACTATTCCTAAAAATAGTTACCTATGCTCAATGTATGTGACAAAGTCTCTACCTACGGGCCAGAGTAACAGCAAACTACAGCTTATCTTTATTTAGACTCAACTGGCTGGAACAATTTTAAACTGTGAAAAGGCAAATCTTGTAGAAGCAAAAGCCACTCTTTCCCATGGCCAGTGAAGTTCACAACACACAAGTGCAGAGGGGCTCACTGGGCAGAAGTTCATACTCACATTCGTGAGGACAGGAAGTGCCAAATGCTCAAAAGCAGTCACATCAACCACATACTTCCCGACTCGGCAGTCAGGACCCCCAGGCTGGGAGTCTGACCTGAAAGAAAAGACAGAATGTTCTGTGGAAAAAGTACTGTGTTCTGGCGCTGGGTGCACCCACTTAATTCATCCTCACTGCCACACATGAGGCTGCTGTGACTCAGCCCTCCCTCAAAGAACAGCACTGTGCTTAAGTGTCCCCAGTACCATCAGTGGGCATCCTTTTCTCCACACCTTGGCCCCCACAGCTCCAGAAATTAGGGACTAACTGTCTGAAAAATGGCTCTAGACAATAGGTCAAGAATTACAAAGAGAGGAACTACATAACTGTGTGGCCTGAGCTTAAGTGAAATATGGCCTTTGTGACCTTGTTTCTCATATGATGGTCTCTGTTCTTCTTTGGAAAACTCTAAAGGCTTCACGATTCCTCAAGACATGCAATGGCTTTGGCTCAACCTGAGCCAGAGAGAAAATTCTCAGCCTGCAGGGAAGGCAGAGCAATCTAAGAGTTGCTGAAGGTTCTAGAGAAGTTAATTCCAGGTACTCAGACTAGAAACGCTCCCACCACAGGGACAGGTAGACAGCCCAGAGCTAAAACCCCACAGAAGGAAAACATCAGTACCCGATTCTGGACAGTGGGCCCCGAGCGCCAGACAAAGTGACCACATCAAATCCTGTCCTCCTCCCTCCCTGCCTGACTTCTTCTGTATAAAATCCATCCACAGACACCCCATAGGACTGCAGACGCTCACTGGCTTTCTGGATCAAGGTGGTTTTTCCAACCCCTGAAAGAGAAAAGAGAAAAGAAGGGTCATTAGAAGATTAGAAATTAGAAGAGAAGGGCCCAGCTGTTACTGGGCACAGACAGCAGATGCCAGAAGGCAACCACAGTGGGCAGAGAAATGGGCTCCACATACATTTTATGGATGCTCATTTTACTGTAATTGTATTCCCACCAGGTGTTAAGCATTTTTCATTTCAGTAGAAATAAGCATAATAAAACATGAATGGTATCTCAAAGTTTGGGTTCTAAAGCACTGTTACTTTTGCCACATACATAATCCTGTAACTCACTGAGTGACTCTCTGATAATAGTCAAGTCCAGTTTGCATCCTGAGTTACACCTCTATTTCTCCTAGGTTTACCCTCTTCCTTCTCTACCTTGGAAATGACTATGCTCATGCTGTAGCCAGAAGCTACCACTGGAGACCAGAATTCCAATCTTCAAGAGACAACCTGTCCACTATGCTCCCTAACTCCGGAAAATATTTTTCCTAAATCCCATGAACACCCTCCACATGGTCCTTTTTAACTTCTTCAAAAGAGCAATCCCATCAGGTGACAGCTCCTCCAAACATCATCTTCTCCAAGGTCCCTGAGCATCCTTCTGCTTACCACCAACTGGTCCCAACATCACCATCTCCAAGGCCCCAACCACCCATTTGCCCTCAATCATGCCAAAATCAACTAAACCATGGGCCCTGAGCATCTCTTAAACTCACCATCAATCCCTTCCTTATTAAGCCCTTTACAGGGTCCCGGAACATCCCTCTGCAGGACCCCAACCCCACCAATATCTCATTACCTCCTCTAGGCTCCCTAAGATTCCCTTTTGCCTGTCTCTAACTCTTCTAACATCATCTCTTAGGTCTCTAAAGCATTCCTCCTGCTTGCCACAACCTGTCTCAAATCAGAGCCAATGCACCTCCACCCTGTCCTCCACCTCTGGCCCTTCCTCCCCTCACAGCTGGCCTGTGACTGCCTAGATGAGATCACCAGTGTTTACAAGCACCAAGAGCCGCTACTTAACACAGGAACACTAAGCAACAATGTGAAGGAGCACAAACTGGGGCTCCTGTAAGCCCTCACCACCAAGACAGGGAATGTTCTAGCAGATCTGCAACTGGCACTTGGAGGTACAGAGTCACAATCCTGTTATTTCTATTGCCATCCTCAGAGTCATCAAGTTGCCCTTTCGTTTCCTTGAAATAAATTATGATTCCTTATTCTTAATATACCTTTCCTACAAACTGCACTTTAAAATAAGGGCACTTGCTTACTGGAACAGGGATAGCACAGATAGCCCTTCCCTGAAGGGCAATTCCAGGGTGCCACCACAGCATCAGCCGTTCTGTGGCTGCAAATTTATTCTCAGTTAAAGCACAAAGAGGTGTGAAATCGATGTTCACTGCACCATTCTTCATAACAGTGAAACACTGAAAACAATGTAAGTATCAATCAGTAAGGAAGGTTGACTTAGGACACCATGTATACAACAGCACATAAACACACAAAAATGCCATGCAGCCATTAGCAAGAGTACTGTTCACTTACACTGATTAGCATGAAAATAATACATGGAAAAAGCAGGCTAACTAACCACAAAAATATATAGTATTATTTTATTATTTTTTTTAAATGGCAAGATATGTATGTGTTTACAGAAGAAAAGGTGAGGACAGAACAAGAGGTTACAGAGCTTATTTCTAGAGGGTTTTCATATGATTGTCACTTTCTCCTTTAAAATATTCTAAATTTTTAAAATTATTGTTTTTATCCTGGTCAGGTATTACTCTTATTCCAAGAAAAAAAAATACACACTTATACTCTATTTTCTTTTTTTTTTTTTTTTTTTTTTTTTTTTTGGTTTTGTTACGGTGCCCATTAAAGTATTTACGACCTTGCAGTAGATTTTTAAAAGATAAAATGGAGGAACATAACAATTCCTGATCAAAGGGGTATACTAAACGGACTTACTTGTATGTTGTGTAGAACACACTA